ATCTATGTTTTATATATAGATATTCCTTTAGTTTCCAAGTCAAGGACTCATTTAGCCTACATTGTCCACATATAGCTAAAAAATATGGATGTTCAATACTGACTAAATTACCTGATGTAAGACCTCTTACATAAAGATAATTAATGAGGGCAAGATGCTAAGACCTGTTTAATTACCTCTGATGATTGAATCAGTGATGGGAATTGTGGCTCTTTGAAGGGAGACCGATCTTATGGCTCTTTTCCTTTCCATCGTTCTTTTGTCTTTTTTAAAAATATTTTTAGGGGGCGGATTTATCTGCAAAATAATCACTAGGATAATGTCAGGGTAAGATTTGGATAAGCTTCAAACTTAGGCGTAGCAGCACTAAATTACTTATATTGCCAGATCTAATCTCAATGATCTGCAATGTAAACACAAGGTGATGCAATTTCCCTCTGCTTTGTCAGTGAATTTCCTACTTTGAATTTACTCTATATATGAAATGTATCATGCCTTGCCATGAATGCAACACTTAATATTGGAAAACTTTTTAACTCTGCCCAACTGAAAAAGCCGTTAAAGAGTCGGATCACTCGCCAACGTAACATCACTAGATTGAAAACATTTACATTCCCACAAAGGTAGATCAAGTTTTATTGTCTCCACCCCATTTTTACAGTTAGAAGAGAATTGCAGATGATTACAGATTTTAAGATGACTTCTTTTTTATGAAATGAAAAGACTGGAAATCTGATCAATAGCAATCAAACATAATTTTTCCCCAGGAAGAAAATTTGACTCTAAAAGACACATTTCACCACAAAATCAAGTGAGAAAATTACATAAAATAACATTTACTGTTCAATCCAGCATCGTATTCAGTTGGGAGGTATTCATATTTGAGAAGCTGTAACCAGCAAATATTTGCTATTCTTGCTAGATTAGTTACTTATTAATTGACGATCAAAATTTATTGATGGATTAGTTTAAAATTGTTCAGCACTACTACAAACTAATTTTATCTGCGCGTGATGAATTTATACAGTACAAATGATTACCAGTGAGATTAAATGGTTGCTAAAAATCTAAAACTTTTGCTGATAATTTGAAGCCTTTGTTGTTGTGTTCTGTTTTATTTTTTTATTTTTTTAAATCTGTCAGTGGGCAGCCAGAAAGACTCTTTGTGTCTGTCTCAACAGACCAAGAAAGTTCTGTATCTGAGACATTGAATAATGACAGTATTTCTTTCTTTTGGTGTTGTGCTTTTGTTTCTTATAGATTAAAACAACTCTAGAATAAAGACAACTTTGGTATTTGGTCTCTTGATAATCATCAGTTTACATATAGGGCTGCAACAGTTATTTCCATTGTTATGTTGTTATAAAAATCATGGCTGGAACGGCTGGAATAGTGTTGTGTGGCGTGGTCTGAGCCACTTTGTTTCCCCATTTACAGAGCCAGGGCTGTGTATAAACATCAGATTTTTTTCAGCGCATACAGAATGGACAGTTAGCGGACCATAAGGAGATATTTGTTGAATTTGTCAAAAAGATGTGTATAGGATATGAACTGCTTACCCCACCTTTAAACAATTGATTATTAATGCTGATTATTTTTCTGTCGATTAACTAATTGCTTGTTTTAGCTCTGACTGATTACACCACGTGTCCAACCAGTCAGAGGCAGAATCAAAACAGTGTCACACACACACAAATTCCACTCAGATTAAATTTTTTTTAAATTTCATTGGTATTTTTTTATACCTTTTGTATTTCATTATTTTTGACTCAGTGGGATCATTTCTTGTTTTCCATAATCCTTTTCAAATCTTGAGTTCTGTCATGGCCACATTTCTGTTGCCCACAACTCCTTCACATGGGTGAGTTAAGGACACATCGATGCTTGGATTTCACAAGTCCAATAAAATTCAGTTCTCAAATACCAAGATTAGTATACGACTGTATTTCAGTAGTGTTATTAATATCCAGTGTTATGTGTTGAACCACGTGTCCTGACAGTTGGAGATCTTTTGAAATGTATTGAACCAAGGATAGCAATAGCACCACTGATACACAATTACAAGTTTGCTTTTAAACATGTGCAGTGTTCAATGCCAGCTAATATTATGCAAGTGCCTGTGTTTCTAAATGCTTTGTAAATTCTGATTTTTTTACATTTTTTTTTTTAACTGAGGAAAACATTTGTTCATTCTTATATGTGTTTAGCTTTACACTTACCTGCTGTAATGACAAAGTGATTCCAGTCATGAAATGACTATGGGAAGACATAGCCACAGACCATTTGATTACAAGGTATTTGGTGAGTTGTTTGAGCTGTGCCTCTTATGTTAAGGGGATATTTAGCACATTTGATGTAAATAAAATTATTCCACCTTAAATTAAAAAAAAGGCAAAAACATGAGTTCTAGCTACACATATGCAGGCAAGTGAAGACATTTGTCCTGTGTCTACAGGTTTGTTAGCAGCATGTTAGATGATGCTCAGTGTGTCTGCCTACAATTTCACAGACGTGATTCGACATCAGTAGCTATTAGTTACATACCTTGTAGTCAATTTATGGATTGATCCAAGTCTATAATAATAGCATCATCTTACAGTATATTTACTGTTCTCTGGTTTCTGTTTCCATGGTGATAGAGAATTTGCAGTAATATATAGCAATAATTTATAATCACCAATGTTCATGTCTTACCATCTTCTCCTGCATCGAGTCACAAATATTTGTTTTTTATAATGACAAAAGAGAGTTTTTAAAAACCATCAGGAAGACAACTATAGAGTGTATTTTGCTACATTTATATGCCATCACCCACTCTGACACTGGTTACAGTAGATATATAACTGCCCTGCAACTGAGTCTCTTGAGCTCCAAATAACTCATTAAATAAAATATCCTTGTCCCAGCAGTGGCTGAGAACACTGTTTTATTATATTGGATATGATCCGTTTTGTTCACGCCTGAGACACCATTTTAAGGTTAAAAAACGAAGTATCTGAGCCACAAATTTTACATTTATATGTAACATCAAAATACCCGTACACAACATAATTTACAGTAAAAGTAGAAAAACTACAATGAAAAAAGTCCTGCATTACTCAGCAGAGATGAGGAGCAACAGAGGTCTGATAAAATAACTTATTCCTCCACACAATCAGATTATTTTCTTTTTCAAACTTGTAGTCATCAGCCCCAACCAACGTGGACTCAAGTTACATCACTTGAGGCAATTAATCAGACTTCACACAACTCCCTCTGGAGCCACAAAAGGCTTCAAACAACTACTCTCCAGTACCCATAAACAGGTCGAGTCCTCCTTAGAGTATTGCTTAGAGTATTGTACTCGTGTAAATAGTTAAATTCCACTATTGGTTTTGAAAGTGATCAACATATTATACCTTCACAAGATGTATTGTGGCGCTTGACCTGCTTAACGGCAATATAATTGCAGTTATAAGACAATTATGGAACAAGATAATTTTAAATATTTCTATGAAATCAGTCTAATCTCATCATTTTCAAACACTGTCTACAGTATGTGTGGTATGACGTTCTAATGTTCTTTTTGTAATCTGTAGATAGAGTTAGTGTTCTATTAAGAAACTCACAGATTACGCTTACACATGACATCACGTCCTGCATGAAATGGTGACAGTACAAAAGACCACTTACAAATGTCAAGGATAAACCTTTCAGAAAAAGACTATTCATTTAAGAATCTGGTCACTTAAAGGTGGGAATTTCTCCCATTTTTCTTTATTTTGGAATGAGACTGTGAGTTTTCTTACCCATGCTCGCCTGATACAAGGTCAACAGTGTGATTCAGTAAAGAGAAACAAAGTATATATATATGTCACAACATACTCAACATGGGCAGTGATTTGCATTAACTGACTTCCAGTGATGACAAAAGGGAGGGTCACTCAAACTCACAATGTGGCATCATTTTATATGAGATTAAAGCAGCATATAATTTTAGACTGAGTTAAAGGAGACCTATTATCCTGCATTTCCAGTCCTATATTGTTGTTCTGTGACTCCTGTATGGTAGCTTTGCATGATTCAAAGTAAAAAAAAATTATTCTATCTTAAACTGGCTCTTCATGTAGGCCTTCATTTCAGCCTCTGTCTGAAACAAACTGAATATGCTCCTGTCTCTTTAAGCCCCCCCATTCAAAACACAGAACAGGAGGAAATGTAATATTTTTCACAGAACAGGAGGAAATGTAATATTTTTGGCTCATAGTGATTTCTTTTAAATACTCCTTATAACCTCATTATTTGAAGCTTTGGCCATGTTTAACATGAACATCCAACATTGTAACATTGTAGATAAGTCATTAAATATGGAAAAGCATAATAGGTCTCCTTTAAATATTACTTGTGACATTTAGTTTCCAAGGTAACGAGGAGGGTATATTTAGAGTGCACTAAACTGAAACAGAAGAAAAAAGTGTTAATAATCTTGATTGAGCAATTACAATTAGTGAAAGTCAAATAGTAAAGATCAAAACACCTCATCTGCTTACAGTTGAAGGTGAGAGAATGCTCAAGAACAACCACCCAGCTCATTCAGCACCACTTCTGACACTTGCGTCATTCAGTATTTAGTGGCATTACTGATTCACATGGTACAGTAGAGGTTTCACTTGAGCTACTCATCAGGGGAGGTTCAGGGGAAGTATAGACGTCAATGGGAAAAGGTGGGGTTTTTTGTTGTTTTTTTTACATGTTGAGCTTTTGAGCTGCAATAACCACCTAATGTGCTGTTAAACATTAGCAATGCAAGAAAATCAAAATACATTAGAATAGCACTAAGAAATGAAGAGATAAAAATCTTCACTGTAGATAGGAATATGTTAAACACAGGAATGTACAGATTCTGTGCTGTATTAAATCAAGGGTGTTTGTTATAAAAATAGGGTGGGGCTTAGATACAACAACTGAATTGTGAGAAACTGATCATTCCTGTACATTTTATAATTCAAAAGGCAAACAAACAAAGGTCACATACTTTTATTTAGGTATAAAACGTATTTACCACAATAATATTTTCATTAAACACTTCACACTTTAACCAGCTTTCTGTCAGGCCCCTTGTTCCCGGGTAGGGGGTGGGTGGGGGTGTGTGTGTTTGTGTGTCCCTTTTTTGCAGGAGTGGAGTCAGGTTCGCAGGAGCCTGTTACCAGCTACCAGCCGCCAGCCATCAGCCTACCAGGTCCTTGCCTCCAGGCAGCGCCAGATCGTAGACTCACGTTACTAGTCAGTCACATTCAAGCTGTTCAAACCTAAGACTAGTTCTTGTGCCTGTTCCCTGCTAACCCTGTTCTTTTGTGCTGCAGATCTCCCCGCCTGGCCCGTCTCCTGCCACTTCTCCACTCCTGCTCACGCATACCCGGGACTGTGGGCCCATGCCCCTCGGACTGCCCGGATTCCAAGCCCAGTGCTACCCCTGGACCCCACACTCTCTGGACCCAGCCTGTCACATCCAGCATACTGTTAACAAAACCCAGTTTCGATTCCCCAACTCTGAGTCTCTGAGTCGGAGTACAGCATTCGAGTTTGAAAACCCAGCCTAACACATTCATATACTTTGTGAGTGACTTGAGTTTGGACAGTTTTCTCAGTACTAAGGCAAGATGAGAGTAACACATACTGCTGCCCAGCAAGATTGGGGTTGATAAGTGGCAACCTCTTAATATAACAATAATAAGTTTTTCTTCTGGAAGAAGATATAAGATACAACTGTATTTTATATTTATATATTAACAATTAAAAATTGTTAATACATCATATTTACCTGTAAACATAAGCAGCTTCTCCTAAGTTGTTCTGTGTCTTCAGTTCAGCTGTGGTGTTTTTCAAGAATGGAAGAACATTATTTACTTTTGCGAATAGTTTATATAGCAAAATAATCTTTGATCAAAAGTCCACTACAGAGCTCTCAAACGCATTTGGAAATGGCACTGATTCAGTTAGAGATAAAGGTTATGGCCAGCCATCGGGTGACCCGAGTGTTGTAAAATGCTATATTATATGACAAAGGTTCCACACACCGGTCCCAGACACCTGAACCAGCGCAATTTACTGAGATGCAAGTAAAAGCTGTGAAAATGATTGAGTGGACGTTTAAATTTAGATTATTTTGTTATGTATTTAACTTTTTTGTTTCTATTGCCAGTTTTATCTCAATTTCAAAAGTCTTGTTTTTGCCGCAGTTTTTGTCACTGCTAACTTTCAATTTTGTCCTGGGTAGATGTGCAGACGTGTGCTACATTTGTGACACATGGTGTCGCCAGTTATTGTTTTTAACCTGGCTATAAAAAATTTTTATAAATCTGAGCTCCAACCCGTGTGCATATTGTGTGGGAGTTTTATTCTTTCCCAGAATTCATCCATTACTGTGCAGTGCTCTAACCAACTAGTAGGAGTCAATAATGCAGCGTCACGGACGACAACCCTCACTGGCTTCCCACCAGCAAACACAGGTAATTGTGTTCACTGGAACACACAACGGAGCCAGAGGTACTGCTACCAGGCTACCTGGGTCTCTGCTGTGGTGGATTTACGTTTAGAAACAGTTTTTGAGCATCCAAGTCCAAAAAATATTTAGCTTTACAGTCAAGAAACAACAACAAAAAAACATCCACAGCAGTACAGTGGAGACTTATTATGTAACTGCGTCTACACCCTTTGCTTGCGTTTACTCTAAAAAAAGTTACTCCGGATGTAAAAAACCTCACACATTTTGACTGAAAGAGGAAGGATTTTTGTTCTCTCATGATTAACGTCTGAGTGCTGCCCTCAATTTAGCGGAGCGTCCTCGAGGATTCTCTTTTACATCGTCCTTTTCTGGGGTGATAACTTTTCTTCGCAGAGGAAGCCAATAAACACTTTTGCTGGCTTGTTTTTCCTTCCAGATGCCTTGCTTCCTTGGGCTGAAGTGATACTGATCTAGATTAGACAAGTCCTCTCCCTGGAGGAAACGTTTGACCAGTCTGTCTTCTAGCGAATGAAAGGTGAGCACGCAGAGACGTCCTCCGGGTCTCAGTACTTCTTGGGCAGCACGCAGGCCTGCATGTAGTTCGTTCAGCTCATCATTCACAAAGATACGCAGAGCTTGGAAGGTCTTAGTGGCCACATGTGCAGGTCGGTGTAGTCTGTCTTTACGTGCATAGGCGACAGCAGCAGGAAGCGATCCTAGAGAAGAAATGGTCAGAGTAAGTGGATCTTGTAAAAGCTATTTTGTTATTACTGTATTGTTACTGTTGTTTTATGTGTAAAAAGGATAAAGGTAGAAAGCACAAAAAAAATTAATACATTTTTTTATGTGTGCAGGAGAGAATAAAATCAGATATATCAAATAAGATTTTACTTAAGCAAGACTGGGGGATGCCAAAAGGAGTAGATGAATGAAGAAATGTGGTCAATTTTAAGGTTCCAGTGATAAGTCCATTGATTAACCAGACGATTGACAGAAAATGTCTAATTTGAGAATAGATTGATCATTTAAGTAATTTTTCAAGCAAAAATGCCAAACATTTAATGCTTACAGCTTTACCTTGTCTTGTGTGACTGTAAACTGAGTATCTTTAAAATTTGGACTGGTGGTCCGCGATGGCATCACCTACGGCTTTGGTAAATTGTGATATCTTTTGTTGCTAATTTTTCACTATTCGATGATGATGAAAATAATTGTTAGTTGGTAGCCCTAGTCACTTTAGAGCTATAGTCTGGAGTATCGTAAAACTTCAATTACTGGCCCAGGCTTTTATTTTCTTAAATCACTGAACTTGGGACAGGCGTCTAATTGGGACTTGCATGTTTGTTCAAACTCACTGAACACGCAAAATCACAAAACTTTATGGAGATGAAGTGGGACTGTCCTGTCATTCAGAAAGTACTGTATATTCTTGTTTATGTAACAAGTCGAAGTACTACACACACTTATTTTATGCTGACAACCCTACTCATGCTATTTTCAGTCTGCTTTTCGCTCTACCATGACAGTAATTTTGGCCTGATTGCACCCTAAAACAGATATCCATCCACTTTAAAAACCATAAATCTTGAACCAGTGTCCTTAGGAATTACATTCAAACAACCATCCATGAACAAAGCCACACCACTTATCAGCTACCACACAAAACCTTGATTCTTGTGACTCTCATGTGACCTATTGACTCACACATTACATCAACAACCCACAGGTGTAATCAGTGTGTGAATATTACAAAGGAGGTTGAAATGCCTCCACTGCCACTGGTCAGGAGAATAAAAGTAGCCTCTTGAATGAAAACACTTATACTTATAACACAGACTTATTACTTCAAGGCATGCTATCTCCTGGTTAAGTGAGAATAATCTGACATAGTCAGCTGGTTTACATTATTAAAGCAAGGTCAAAGAAAATAAGAAAGAAATTAATTGCTATAGCAAGACATAGCACAAAACAGCTTATTGACAAATATATAGAAGCCACTGAAACCTGTGGAGTGAGCCGCAGCAGGACTGAGTGGAAGGTCTATAAGAGGCTCTGTGCAAAGCAGATGGAGGGTGGAGATGGTGTTGATATAGCTTATGTTTCACCAAAATACAGAGGTAAATGCAGCCAAACCTACCATTAACTCTCAGTTCACTGAATGCCAAGTTCAAGTTAAATCTTACTCTGCACAAAAAGACCACTCCCCATGCTAATTACTGTTAACAAAATATTCGTGCACCCAGTATTGGCCTGCTTTCTGTAGAATAAAAACCTCTCTCTTTAATACTCCTGAACAATTTGCACCTGTCTTTTAGAGGCGTCGAATTTTCCACACAAAAGTTTTCTCTCCTCCAGTTATTTGAACAATCCTACCTCAAAATAAATTTGCACTAAGAAGAAAGGTATTATGAACTGCAGACACACAGAGAATGCTTTAGATGCCAAACAATGCACATACAGTTTGTGCACCTGTTTTATAAATAACATGCAGGGTGCAGAACGCATCTGAATTTAGGAACAAAAAGGTGGACGTAAAAGGTTATGACCAAAATGTGCTGAACGTTAAAGTCGGGAAAATATTAGCATTTTATTAAAACATCTTGATGGGGTCCAGCTTGACTGACTCATAACCACCACACAGAAGCCAAAAGGACAATTAGATACTTACATAGACCTAAAGTGAAACTGCAATAAATAGAGAAGTGATGTGGCATTTCTCTCCTCCTGCACTAAACAGCCCAAGGTGTGACTCACACTGCAATCAATACAATGCCTGCACAGCAAGGACCAGCCCTGGTCTGGCCTCACCAAGCCATGTGCTCTCTCTCTAATTCATCTTTCAAAGGTCCTACAGACAGATCCATGGAGAAAAGAAGAGATTAAGATGTGTACATAAAGGGAAAATCAGGTAGTTAAGAAGGAACAACATTGTGAATGTATTAGATAGGACAGAATTAACATAACAAAGCCCTTGCTGTACTCTACCTGTGTGTGACATCTCATCTTAAGTTGCTATATTTGATGTTTGTAGCATGCATAGAAAAGGCGAGAACTACATTCCACAATAAGCTATCTGGACAAGAACAGTGTTTAATGATTCAGTGTTACAAAAAGCTGAATAAATGGAACATGAGCCATGAAGCTTTTGAGTGAATAGGGTTCTTTTTAAAAGAATTCTGCGACAGGTTGTGGTTTTCGACTTTTTAAATTGGCAGTGATGGAATACACGTCATCAGGCTGGGTAGCTGAATGCTAGCGACAAACTTGCAGCATGGTGTACAGTCTGCTCCACGTGACTGACCGTTTACATCCCACACCCCCTACCAGGAACCTCCATCTCCACCTACAGTGGTAGACTTATTGTTCCCGCTGCTAGCTCCCCCCACCAGCCTCATAACCCCCCTCCACTGGAATTCTCCATATACAGACTATACGGCACAGAGGTCGTCTTTTATCATGCTTTTTATTGTTTCTAATGATTTGGACTTTTAAATGATTACTGAGACATGGTTTTCCCCAGGGGACACTGTTCCCTTGATTGAGGCTAGAGTGGGAATATAAAAATATGTGAAATAAGGGATTTCACATATTTTTACATTCCTAGGCCTGGAATCTGGAAGTGGGAGTGGTCTAGCTGTTTTTTAGAAGTTAGGTCTTAAGTGCCATCCTGTTACTTTTGCCAATTTTATTTCCTTTGAAGTTTTAAATCTCGTAATCACTGTCCATCCCCCTTAGTCAGCATCTTTAATTTATAGGCCCCATAAATCAGTTAGTTTTATTTGTCATTTTATGTATTTTATGTATGTTGTCCTTCCCTCATTTTTTAGATCTTATAAACTTTTTAAAACCTAATTCAATTTTTTAAAGAAGCCACACATTCTAAAGGTCACACCTTAGACCTGGTACTCTCATCTGGTTTCTCTCTCTCTCTCGCCTTAATTTGGTGAATATGCCTATTACTGATCAAAAAGTTGTTGTTTTTTTAGTTCCACTACTGCTCCCTTCTCCTCGTCCCTACCCTACAACACACTCTGGCATTCTCAATGCTGGCCCTGCAGGTAAATTCTGTGATGCTTTTAATTCATCATACTTTAATTCCATTACATCTCTGTTCAATCCAGATGCACTATTAAATCCATTTAACGACCAGTGCCTATCCATCCTTGACCAAATTACACCATTTAAAACTAGGAAACAAAATTCAAATAATATCCTCTGGCTGAATGATCAGACTTGAGCTCTTAAAAAAGACTTCAGCTCTTAAAAGACTCTAGAAAATCTGAAAGACAACAGAAGGTCAAGAAGTCTGAAATAACACATAACACCCTTATAAAACAAATGTTAATTTATCAGAAAGCAGTTAAGGATGCTAGAAATAACCACAATCCTGTTCCAGTTTTCTTTAGGGTAACTGATTCTGTTATTACTGATCCCTACACTTATTTCCCAAAACTATCTGGAAAAAATTCTTGCTCATTTTGTTAATAAGATGGAGGATATCAAGGATCAAGGAGGATCCCAAATTCCAGATCACCCTTGTATTCTCTCCATTCCCCATGTCAATGCTGCCTCTTTTACACAGTTTCAACCTATTACAAATTCAGAGTACAGTCCCATGTAAACTTCTCCTGCATCACAGAAATCCCCACTAAGTTGCTAAAACTGTTATCTCACATTTTTTTAACAATTACCTGGCCCCTGGTTCTTCTCCGTTTCCTTTAAGTATAATATTGTTCACTCATTGCTAAAGAAACATAATCTGGATCCGCTGTCCTTAAGTAATTATAGACCAATCTCCAAACGGTCTTATTTTCTAGGGTTCTGGAGAAAGTAATCTCAACTCAAATGATATCTTTTATGAATAATAATAGTGTTTTTAACTGTTTCCAGTCTGGTTTTAGAGCACTGAACAGTACCAAGACAGCTCTTACTAATGAGCTACTGCTAACTGCAGACTGAGGTGACAGCTCGATTTGCTTGAAGTGCTGCCTTTGATACAGATCATGGTATCCTCTAAGGCTTGTGCGGACTACACGACTTTCAGTGTTGGCCGATGACTGTGCAGTTCACACTACACAACTTGCCAACTTGAGTCTTGAAGTCACTGTGGCGTTCACAGTACGTGACCGATGGGTGACGGGGGTCACACACTACACGAGTTGACAATGAGTCTGTCACCCGATGCTGTTCTCCAAACCATGTTTTGTCAAGAAAACACAGGTGAAATGTGAAACGGGAAATGGGTAAGAATCAAGGGCTCAGCTCTTAGCTTTTTACGCTCATACCTCTCCAACAGAACTGTTTCTGTATCTTCTCTACTGCTCAATTGAGGTGTGGTGTCACTCAAGGCTCCGTTCTTGGACCCCTTCTGTTTTCAATATACATGCTGCCTCTTGGCTAGGTTATTAAAAAACATGATGTGCATTACCGTTTTTATGCTGACGACAGTTACCGTTAAAACCCATAGTTCGTAGCAACCTATTACATACCACAACATGCCTCTCTGATATTAAATCCTGGATGTCTCAAAATGTCCCTAAATTTAACAATGTAGTCTGAGGTGATTCTGTTAGATCCCCCAAATTCCATCAGCTCTTTTGGTGCTAATCCTAGTGGTTTGTCAGATAATATTAAGCACGCTGTTAGGAATCTTGGGGTTAAATTTGATGCTAACCAAAAAGTGGTGTTTGGCAAAGCCAACATGTTGTTCAGTCGT